TAGGAAAATAAAAATAAAAAGGAGAGTTGAATTTGTTTATTTGTTTTACAAAAGCTTAAAAAACCCTGGAATGAACATAAAACACTTTTCCAATAGATGTTACCAATATTGGAATAAATGGAGGCGCTGAATATTATAAATATGTTACATTTACAGTTATTTAGTTCCCACACTGGCCTCCTCTGTTTAAACACTATCTGCAGTTTAGCCGGAAAACCCCAGAATTTTTCTGTTGTGACTGTCGGTCACGGCTGAGTCAGTCATAGTGTCGCAGCTCTGAGTCAAGAAGAATTTATTTGATGTTTTTTTTTTTTTTACTGAATCTGATGCAACCACTTTATTTTAGGAACTTTTAACAATGAAAAGTGACGTGTCTTCATTTACGCTTAAACTGGACAATTTTCATGACTGAACAGATGAGTAGTTCAAGGACTGTAGGAGAGATGAAAATCTGGTGATTCTTGCTGTTTTTACAGTTGTTAAGTTTGATAAATGCTGCATTTTTTTTTAAGAATTATTGTAAAGGACATGCCTTGCAAACCTGTCTGTTTTGGGTTCAAAGTCTTCAATTAAGACGAATTCAATGTGTGTGCTCCAAATACAACTAATACACTGCTGTCAATGCTGAAAGAACTGTGATGTATGAAACAGAGGTGGTGTGCTGATTCCTTTGTCAGATAGTGACAAAGGAATCACATCCCATCCAGTTTCTTCCAGTGTTCACATCCACTGTTTAAAAAGACACAAAACCTTTGTTTTCTCACTGTCTGACATTAAATCAGACTAAACGTTTCCTGTTTCAGGTCAGTCAGGATCACCAACATCATTTCTATTTGCTAAACATCAGAATAATGAGAGAGAGAATTTTTTTAAACAGATTCTTTTATGACTTTCTTCAAAGTCATAATTTTACGTCCACTAACTTGCCTTTGAACTATTAGGTAAAGCCCAGGTGATGATGTCATGGCTTTGGAAGCTTCTGATTGGTTAATTGACAACATCTGAGTTAACTGGAGGCACACCTGTGGATGTATTTTAA